TCGTGTGTGTTGTAAATTTACGATGTCACGTTGCATTGTTAAGCGCACATGGCACCAACGCATGACTAAGATATATAAAATCCGCATCTCAATCTATTAGACATTCAAAAAGACAAGCGTATCTGATTGTTATTCGTATCCCAGAAACTGAAAGGCAAACCAGATAAAAGAAACTCACCACGAACAAACGCCAATTCATCATCTTCCAAAGCCAGATCCAAAAAAACTACCGTTACCACGGCGTTCCACACGACACCCTTCCTCAACCCCCTCAACTTGTATCACCACAGAAAAAGCCCCATCCTCCTCTTCCCACTCCTCCCCTTCCCCCCTCTCCCTATAGAAACCCCACCATAATGACCCGCAATACCCTCGTCACGCAAAACATTAACACAGGCCTCGCCTCCTCCCTCGGTCACCACTGCACTATCTGTTCTAAACCCATTTCTACCTCCTGCCTCAAGAAACTACACGTTGCCTTCTGCAAAGCGCCCAAGAACCCTGCACGCCCTGAAGACGGCGAGTGTGGGTTCAGGTTCAACGTTCGGAGCCCTGGGGGGTGCTGCAAGCATCCTTATAATATGGGGTTCAATGAGGATGTGAAAGCTGCTTTAAAGGGGGGCTGTGCTAGGATTGATGAGGTCGCTGAGGATGAGGAGGGAATGGAGTGTGGGGGAGAGGAGGGGGGAGAGGATAGACCATGGGATAAGGATTGGAGTAAGAAGGAGTTTAGAGAGAAGGCACCGCCTAGAGAGAAGACGAAGGACAGACAGGGGAAGAAGGTGAGTGTTGGGAGGAGCTCAAGTATGAGGAAATAGGTGAGTTTGTTCCGTGTATGCGAAGTCGCGGCGTTTGTGTAATGGATTGGTTAGAGCTCTTTAGGAGGCTATATGTCACAGTATGGATGAGCTCCTAGGGAGCATGGGCCACAATGAAAGGTCAAAAAAGAAAAAAGAAAAAAAAAACGAGTAGCTGCGACTGGTTTCGATCCAGTGTCCTCCGGGTTATGAGCCCGGCGCGCTTCCGCTGCGCCACGCAGCTTTTTTTGATTCGTTTCTTTTAATTTGATACAAAATTTCACACATATAATTTATATATTCTTATTAAACATACAGAGATTTTTTGTTCTTTTTTAAAAAAAGGAGATTCTTCATGTGCTGGAGGTCTTTGCTCAAGGGAGAGATTTTTTTTTCCTTTGTTTATGCTTTGAGTCATAACTAGCGTCGGTGGGTGGGTGACTTGACAAATACATTGTCAAAGGCTGGCTAAAAAAGTAATTCGCCACACTAAACTCCACGCGGTCGCCTCACCTATATGATGCGTTTAAGCATTTTAACTCGTATAATTCGCCTCTCAATAAGGAATATATTATTCTTTTAAACTAATTGGAGGACTAGTATGTTCAACTTCGGCCATTATGTTCATATTGTATAGGAAAAGCCCTAGATGTGAGATCAGTACGCCACATTTGCTCTGTGCATCGAGAACCCTTTTTATATAATTCATTGTGGCTTCTAGAACGACACAGTAAAATGAATAAGATGCAAAGATAGCACGTTCAGCTGTTCATAGAACATTTGAATATGCAGAAGCCCTGAAGATATCAACAAAAATACAGAATAGAGTAGATATGAACAAGAATGGAGAACAAATTGTCGACATCGTGGCCCAAAGAAATTTCTCAGTATGGGAAATTTCTATACCAGCTGAGATTATATTTGATTTATCATATGTGAACGTCGAGGAATGTTTGGAGGGACTTGTGAACTAACAGCTCTAGTGAAGCACATCAATTAGATATTAAGTCCAAAACCATACAAACGCAACAATTCCGCAATGTCACCATTCCCATCTCTTTATGCAATTTCCAAAGCCGTGACTCCAGCTTTATTTGAAACATCCACTCTCGCACCATACTCCAACAGCGGCATCACAGCCTCCTCATTACACCTCCGTGTATCGATCCTCCGAAAAAGCGCACTGTGCAAACAAGTTGCCCCATCATTCTCTCTCACAACCTAGTTTGGATCTGCACCTTTCTCTAGCAATAAGCTCAACGCTCCGATCTACTGGTGAAGAGCACATAAATGCTATCAAGTTGTTTAATGTCAAGCGATACGCCACCGTGTCGTCTTCGCAATGCATAAACCCGTACGCGTCTAACAGCTCCTCGAGCGTTCTTCTGATGTAGTTGCATTTTAGCAACACCATTCTATCTTTTATAGAACCCCCCAATAAGTTTGCGCATTCACGCATCGTCTTCTTTACTATTTCGGGTGTATACGGATAATCATTTAGTAGACACCGGACGCAATCAGTGTACCACCACGTACTCGCGTAAAGCAGCGCTTGGACTCGCTCTTCTGTAGTCCATTCACACTTCTTTTCTCCCCTCCCCCTTCTTCGTGATGTGTACCTTCGCCACCACCCCAAGCTATTAAATCTCGCAATATTTCTGCCGTCTTCCATGACTCTGGGCGTTCATCAGCTACCTAAAATGAACATCCCTTCAAAGGTTTGAACATTGAACATTGAAGACTTCACAAACACACATGCGCAACAAGCCTCACCCCTTAATTCCTTTTGTTGTTCATTATGCTTTGAAAGTGTTGCCTAATTTATATAGGCGTCTTATCTTCTTTCAAGGATTAGTTCCTGTGCTGCATTCAACATACATGTCATCCCACCATCTTATGGAGATGCGAACATCGGAATGTATGTGTTGCAGAGCATATAGTAGGCAACAGCCTTTTATATAGATGATGAGGCTTGAATTATTGCCAAGAATTTAGTGCTGAGTGAGCTCGACCTAGGCGAGCTTGAGGAGTCCCCTTATAAGTATACATGAACTGTTCTACTGGCGCCTCCAGACTCACTCATCACTCAGAATATTTCTTGACGGGCACACGATTCCATGAAGACTGTTGCATTGTGTTACCATACAGAATACTATTGCCCAATATGCACCACGCGCTTTCCCAACCCGAGATTGTCGGAATGATTGTTCGGAGCGGACCATCAAGACGAAGAGGATTCTATTTCACCTGTCTCCGCCTCAACAAACTGTTCTTCGAAGAAACCGTGCGGGTATTATGGCATAAATGCAACGGCAGCCCGTCCATTAAGGATCTTGCGACTCTGGAGATAGGAAGGAGAAGATTTTACGCTCAATATATAAATGTTCTTTCATTCGGAGTGGCATGGTGGATTGGAGCCACGCTCGACGATGATTCTCGATATATTTCGCACCTACACGATCTCCCATGGCCGCGCTTAAGGGAACTCACCTTCTACGCACCATGTAGAGGGACGGATATAAAACCCCTTTTGCGAACGAATCTCGTCAAATTCGCGGTTCGGGATTGTCGCGAACTGAATGACGAAAATTTAGAGTGGTTGAGAGCCGGTTCTTCGAGATTACGATCCTTTGACGTGAGGCTATCCCAAAAAGGCAACAAGATCGGGACGCAAGAGTTACAAAAGTTTCTTACGCACTTCAAATCGCTTGAGAAACTGGGATTCCTAGGCATGCAGTGGACTTTGGAATCTTTCGAGACCGTAGCGCAATACAGTAGGCTACATACTCTAGCCTGTCCGCCAATACTTCAAGGCTGGCCGAAGAAGATCGAATCCGGACTTTCCACTCTAACGAGCCTGACATGTGCTATCTCAGCTAAGGCTCTGGAGGAACTATCTCGTCTTGCACTACGATTAACGTATCTACAAATCAATATAGAGGCACCTAGCCAGGGTTTGGTTCGAGCGGCGTCAAAATTCGAAAACCTCGAAATACTTAAGCTCATAACCCCCAGAGGAGGTGTTGAGTGGGAAATAAGTGGTGCAGAGCTTATTTCGCTCGCCCGGAACTGTAAGAATCTGGAGGTATTTTCCATAGATCACACGACATCCCAGTACGATGAAAACTTCCCCTCCCCCCCGGGAACCCCGCCTGAAGAATATCTACACCCTACCGGAGTTGATATGTCGGATGACAATATCGCAGCAGCAGCGCAGCACTTTCGAAATTTGAAGGAAATGAAAATTACATTTGGGAATGCAGCAGGGCTCAGTTTCGCCTCCATCCAATCACTCTGCGAGAATTGCAGAGATCTGGAGAGCCTAATAATAACGTGCGATGTGGATTGGGAATTGTTCGAGCAGACAAATTTCGACATATCCTTTCCAGCGATGACAGACCTGCGCATACAAAGAGCGACGCAAGCTATGCCACCACTCGCGCCCAACGATGATGTACTGAGGTCCATTGTTAGAAAGCTTGCAGATCTTCTACCGAGCCTAACCAACTTCGAGATATATACTGGAGAACCGTTTGAGCATGACTTGAGCGATGCTGTCACAAAAGCCCTTAACGATGGAACGTGGAGAATGGGAGATATCGTCCTCTAATGTTGTTTGCCATGGCAGTTTAGCTGATAAGCCCTCCCGGCCTTGCTGCGATGTGTGGGAGAAGGCTGCATATTGAGAGTTTCCGTCATCGATGAAATGAAATCAAGATTACTCTTCTACTTTAGTAAACACATCATGCTTAGATTGTGACGCTCATCAGTTAGACTACTAGATTTTGCAGAAAAAAGGTTGCCCGGTTTCTGCGCCAGGTTATGGAACCCACCAAATAACAAAGACACCCCTAAAACGTTTTTCCCCGACACACCCTTTTATAATACCCCTTTTTATTATATTTTTGCGGCCATGATTTTATTGAGGTCGGATCTCTCTACAAAATGATCCAACTCGCAAAAAAAAACTCCTCATAGCAGCCTTCCAGAGAGTTGGGATTTCGTTAGGTGCGGGGGTCAAATCAAGTCCTTCGCCCTTCGGGTTTGGCGTCACCACTTCCCTGCTAGATGTTCGCTCTAATTCCTCGGGCCTCGGCCATCCCCCACACTAGGGGTTATCGCGAACGGCGTCCACACCGCCGTTTTTTAGGAAAGACAAACATGTATATAACGTTTTAGCCGTGAAATGTCCATCAATCAACTGGCAAGATGGCCGAGTGGTTATGGCGTGTGACTCAAGCGCAAGCTTGCCTCGAAAACGAGGTAGTATTCTCATGGGCTTTGCCCGCGGGGGTTCGAATCCCCCTCTTGTCAACATTTCTTTTTCTTTTTGCTGCTTCCCCCTCCGTTACCCACAATTTCTATAAAGCTACAGCAAGTAAGGGGCATGCACACCAATGCTCTTAGCTGCTTTGCAGTGTAAGAAAGAACACGAACCATCCTCCCTTTTTTTTTTTTTTTTAGCACTGCTGTATTTCTCAGCACACATACCTCCTTTTTTTACGGCCGCATTTTGAGATCTATTGGTTTTCTAGGGTAGAGGTTTTCATCCTGTATGTAAAAAGGTTACCTTGTAATGCCCTTTTTGGACAAGAACAACTTTTAGAAAGAAATTTTGGTATAGGTATCCTTTCCTGTAAGTAGCTATCTAGTCAATATCCATAGCGAAGAATCAAAAAGACAGTCATACATATACCTCCTTTTTAAGTAGTTTTTTCCCCAGCTGTTTGTTCTACAGAGATGTATGAAAGATTTTAATTTTATATAGATGGGAATTTCATTAATGGAGTTATAAGTCTAATCTAAAATGGATGAATGTTATGGGTTCACTTACCTGCTACCACTCACCTCAGCTATCTTCTTATGTAGAAGAACCTTGGGAGCTTGACAGCCACGTGATAGCTGAACAACTTAACGCATTTAAGAAGCTGAGTAACTAGAGTCACCTATTTAGTAGAGCTTGTACCCCTGTGAATTACTACGGCGATTGAAATATCAGTATCTCTAACACTTCTATCAAACATTTTCTTGTGAGCCAGCCCATCATCCACTCTCCCCAGTAACCCGCGGAAAACCCCTCTACACTAGAGCGCGGCGTATGTATAAGCTTGTCGCAATTTCATAAAGTGGCGCTGGACCGACACGCATCGTAACCTCTACCACTTAAACCCCCAAAGCAGCATCCGAAAGCCAATGACTCCCCCCCGCACACCTGTACCCTCCAATCTGTCTAATCCACCGAAACCCCATGGGACACGGTCCCAGGATCTTCAACCGCTGCTGCCTCTTCACCTCTTCCTGCCTTTTCTGCTCCGCCTCCCTCAGTTTCTCCTCTTTTCGACGCCGCTCCAGCTCAGCTTCGATCCGTTCTCGCTCCCACCTGCGCTTCTCTTCCTCGTGTTGCGCCTCCTCCTCGGCGCGTCGGAGGTCTTCTATACGCTGCAACTCGTCTTGCTTCTCCTTTTGCAGGCGCATATACTCGCGTTCTTGGGCGATCGCGGCGTGTTTGTCGCGGGTTAGTTGTTCCCAGACGGCGTCTGAGACGCCCGGGTCGCGCTTCGCTTTTAGGATTGAGTCGATCCATTCGGGCTCTGAGGCGGTCGCATCGCCCCTGTCTTCATTCTGATCAGGTTCTTCGGGCTTTTTGTCCGTTGGAGGTGGTGGGGGCGGTTGGCTCTTTGACGCTGTGTTGGTCTGGGGCGTTGGATTTGATGTTGAAGAGGTCGGGTTGGCTGGTGCATTCTGTGCTTGATGAGGTGGGAGCGGATGTCGCGGTTGTCGCTTGTGAAAACGCGTGGTGCCAACAGCTTCGTTGCGACGGGAGCGTTCTGTAAGAGTGTTCTCCATGACTTCCACGACGACTTGTTCGGTCAATATTAAGCTGGTAATTGGAGGGACTGCGGCGGAAATGATTTTGTTGAACATCCCCTTTGCTAGAGATTTAACGTCGCGCGCGTTTCCCCATGAATCCAGGCTGGAAAGTTGTTTGAAGAGGCCAAGTATTTTGCCTTCAAACTTTGGATCGGGATTGACTAGACAGTCCAGCTGCAAGGGAGCCTGCTGAGCATTCTTCTTCAAGACGCTGGTCATCAGTTTAAGCGATGTGGCCGGGTCCAGATGGGGGAAGATGATGCTCTCTGGGAAGCGACTCGTTAAGCCGGGATTTTGGGACATCAGTCTATCAATGTCTTTGTCGTACCCAGCAAGGATGCATATGAGTTTTTGCTTATACTTTGGCTTCGTGAGACAGTCGACAAGCTCGTCCATAGCTTCGGTCGCAAAATGACCTTCTGCCAGACGGTACGCCTCGTCAATGAACAACACCTTACCAAGTGCTTTCTCAAGCAGCTTCTGAACTTTTGGCCCTGTGTGTCCAACATACTGGCCAACCAGATCAGTCGCGGAAGCTTCAATCACTTTTGCTTGGCCTAGAAAACCCATGTCGTAGAACACTTTCCCCATCTTTTGCGCTGTCGTGGTTTTTCCGGTGCCTGTTGAAGCGTTTAGTAGAGATCTTGGTACCAAAGAGAACGCTCATACCTGGAGGCCCCTTGAACAAGAAATTGAAGGGTATTTGCTCTCGTGGATCCATATTCAGCTCCCTCATATTTGCTGCAGTCGTTTGATAGCCCTGCATCTGCTTGATAATACCTTCGCATCCCACAACATCTTGAAACAGCAACGGAAGGTTTGTCGCAGCGCGCGCCCCTCTATCAAACTCAGGGTCAATATCGACAGCCTCAAATGTATCCATATGTTTCACTTTTCCAGAGGACAGATGCTTCTGATGGAGACCTTTGGCGCGGTCGAGCATGATATCCACCTCACCAGCGTTGCCGAAATTGGGTTTGTTGCGCGCTCTCTGGAGGGATTCCATGGCAACTCGTTTTGCCTGGTCGGTAATGTTGTACCCGATTCCCTTGAGTTTCAGGTTCAATATCCGCTCAAGCTCGGCGTCCGTGAAATCTTCGAATTCAAACGAAGAAGCGAGCGGAAAGCGTCTAGCTAATCCAGGGTTGGTGTCTCTGAACATGTCTTCCATCTGATCTTTATATCCTAACAGGAGCACGCAGCGATCTTCTCCGGGAACACTCTGAACCTCTGCTACAATCGTATCAATGACAGCAATCTTGAATACGTCGGGTTTTCCACCACCGGCTAGCATGTAAGCCTCGTCGATAATGAGGACCTTTCCGACCGTGGAGGCTAAGATGGCCTTGGTCTTGGTCTCGGATGCTCCAATGACGTCCCCGACAAAGTCCGCGGGGTTTTTGACCACAACTTCTCCATTAGACAGAAGACCAATATCTGCCAAGATCCGTCCATAGAGCTTCGCAACCGAGGTCTTTCCGGTTCCTGGCGACCCGACAAAACATTTATTTAGCGAGTACTGTACCAAGGGCTTCTCGGCGAGCTCTCGGTCGTAGTTGTACTGGATGCCGTCTAGCAGGATCTGAATGCTCTGTTTGACTGCCGACAGACCGATTAATTCTTGCAACTCTTTCCACGCCTTGTTGTTCTTGAGCACAGAAGAGGGCGCCGGGCCTATCAAGTCTTCCTTGGTGAGTTCATAATCGTCAGGTAGCGCGCCGGCCTTTCGCTGCTTTTGAAGTCGCTTAGCTTGTCGCTCAGTGATTTGAGAGATTTTGTTTTGAACCTCTCGGGCATTTCCGAACCCCTCTCGGCCTCGTCCTCTGCCGATTCTTCGAGCAACGATCCTGACGTAGAGACCCTGCATACCATCCTCTATCTTCATCAACCCCTTGTACTTCTTCACAATGTATTGGCAGAATATTTTCTGCAGCTCCTGGTCAGTGTAGTCTTGGAATTCCATCTGGATAGGTATGCGACTCGGGATGCCAGGGTTGTGCTCGAAGAAAGCTTCCATCTGTTTATGGTAGCCCGCCAGCACAAACACTATTTTGCCCGTGAGGTTTTCAATCTCCGCGAGAAAGTAGTCCAGCACAGCTTTGCCGCCGGGAGAGTTACCCGAAACGAGTTGATAAGCTTCATCGATGAAAAAAACACCTCCACCTGCTTTCAGAATATCTTCAATGTGCTTTTTGCAAGCCGAAACTCCTTCGTTGGCAAGTGCAGAGCCGGAACTCTCGACAAAATGGGATCCAGGGAGAGCTCCCACTTTGACCAAAAACTTGGCGTAGAGACGAGCTACTGTCGTTTTGCCTGTCCCAGGATTACCCAGCAGCGCAGCTCCGAACCGTTCACCCGACAGAGATACGTTTTGTCGGACCACCGTGTCAACCTTTGTCTTGGTCGCCAGAAACTTTTGCTTGACAGACTCCAACCCTAAAGAAGTAAGCAACTTGAAACCATAGTAATGTGCATTTTCATACCTATCATATCCATCAGCTCGTCAAGGGCTTCGTTTTCAGCACGCTCAAACTTCTTCTGCCAATTCCAGTCGTCCTTGGCCTCACTTTCATCCCAGTTCGAGGGAACAGCTGAGGTGGATTTATCGGGATCAGTCGGTTGCGCCACAGATTGCTTCGCTGGAGAAGTTCCTGTAGAGTTTGCAGACTGATCTCCTGCTTGCGGCCATGAACCGGGCATTCCTTGTGTAGAAGGTAGTTGGCCTGATTTCTTCATATTAGCCAAGTCAAGTCTCTTCTGCGCCAGGACATTTTGACGGGAATGAGTCTCGGCTGCATCTCTCATTCTCCGCTTCTCATGCTCAATCTCCTCCTCCAGCAAAGCAAGCTCAGCAGCGTATGCATCCTGCTTTGCCTGCCTTTCACGGTCCAGTTCCCATACTCTCTTTCGTCTCTTTTCAGCTTCTTTTGCCTCCTTCTCACACTTTCGGCAATTACTTCCTGCGGGCTCATGGCAAAATCTTGAGCTTTTGTGGTTCTTGGCACAGATGGATTCCACAATTGCCTTGCATATCATTTTGGAGTGATCCTGAAGCTGATGACACTTTTGTGGGCATTTGTGCTGTTTGCAACTGAGTAGCACTCCGCTGTAGAGGTTAGCTATCTGATCATTCTTGGGAGGGATCATCTCACTTACCATGGTTCAGAACAGCCTCCATCAGGGCATTCAGTGTCGAAAGCTTCTTTGGTAGACAGCAACAGTTTTCTCTCTGGGTGCTTTTCACATTTTACTGGGAAACCATCGTACACATGCCCATCTCGTTTCAGCTGATCCATCAATGGTGCCCATACTTCTTTGCCTTTGCGACTATTCAAGAACGTATCTGCATTGCCAATCATGATTAGAGCATCGCGTGCACGCGACAGCAATACATTGACTCGCTGGGGCGCCGACATAAATCCGATATCGCCGACCGCGTTGCT